CAGGTGTGGCTGTGTGAGGTAAGGAGGAGGGTAGACAGCCTCTGGCAGGAATTAGGCTTCAGGCCCATAACTGCTCTTAAAATGTACCAGGACCACATTCTGTCACTGTGAGACGCCTTTGTACCCTGAGGGGGGTTCAGGGACACCTTGTACATTCTGTACACTATATGCAAAGCAGGAGGTTGTTTTTAAAACCTTCTTTTATTTTGTATTCTTTTGTAACACCATTAAAAATAAAAACCGTTTTCCCTCAACGGCGTACGGGAAAGGGTCGGACCCAAATACTGCTACTAAACATAACAAGTACTGTACACATACCTCCAATCTGCAGAATAAATCCAGAGTAGTTTTCACTCACACACCTACAGGAGCAGATTAAAGATTTCCTGTCGTATGTTGATGAGTTCAATCATATTTATGGAATTATTTCAGCATATATATAACTGAAAACATTAAATGTATGTTATTAACGGTGAATGGTCATAAGTTTTTTTTATTTCATAAAAAGTGTACATTTTTTATTTTATTCTTTTTAAACGCCTGATCTTCAGACCCAGTTATTCATTTGTATCCACAGCTACTACACACACACACGCTTTATTTGTCCCTCTTTAATTGTGCTTATATTTAATGTCACTATTTCTGTCATTCATACGTTTAATTTGAAATTCAGATCTTTCAGCTACTCAGGTTAGATCAGAATAAAACATATATTTCTTTTATTTTCCATTTTCCAAGGGAAGAAATTATTTAAAAATATTAAAATATACGTAACAGTTTTGCATATTAAGTGAGTGAGTAACTCCCAGTGGTATGTTTGTTGTCTCTTACAGTAATCAGCGAATCCAGTGTAAAGGGTTTTATAGAGTTTGCACTGAACTCTGTTAGCTCAAACTGTTGAATGAGTTCAGTTTCAGATTGTTAGTAAGCTGTCAGAGAAGCTCTGTGAGTGTGTGCTCCCTCGCTCCCTCGTGTCCTGGAAAACATGGAAGTTTAACTTGAAAATGTTATTTCACACCTAGTTTTAATTTCTAACAGTGACTTTGGTTTCTACATCCACCCTTCCAGTGGAATCAGGGTCGTCCTCATTTTACCATCAAAACTGTCCTAATCTCTGAGTTTTAAAATACCCAAAACAGCTTTTCAGCCTGATCCTATATCACAGTTTGGTATGTTCAGGATCACATCTGTTTAGAGATCAGACTTTAGAGTTGGTGCCATCAATAGTAAGGTTTTAATGCTGGATTTTGAAGAAGAAACAAAAAGACAATAGCTTTGGTTCTGCTACATTCATTTGAATTGTCTGACAACCTTATACGTCACTTTGTTGCAGTTTGAAGGCTGATGGAGCGGACTACACTCTGTGTGCCTACGAGGATTCATCGACACGTTGCCAGACCGGCTGAGTTGACTGACTGGTGGAAGGGACACTGCAGCTGCTGTGCCGGCCACTGGAGGGCGCTCTGGCATTGGTGACTTCAGGAGGCCTGCTGGAACTATGGAAGAGTGTCCAGGTTGGTCCACTTTCCAGTTGTAATGTTGGTGAACAGTTTATTTATCTTTCATGTCACTACTAGGAACCATTCATGAGCCAAAAGGTCTTTATTTATTGCAGTCTATATTCTGTAAACCCATGAATAACACAAGAGATCCAAAATGCAATTCACCTGCATGTCTAAAACTAAATATAAAATCTGTATTCTGTGTTCATGAGTTACGTTAACATTTATCAGAAATCAACAATAAGTTAGTGACCTGCTTTAATTTGAATTCATGTTGAGTGGTGTATAGTGTTGCAGTTATTCACTCTGACCCCTGGAGGGCGCTCTTCATTGATCTGAACACTATTATATTATTAACATGTATCTTTTACAGAGAAACATAAACAATTACATACAACATGTTCGACATGAATTTCGGTCTGAAATGTGAGGAAGTCAGCTACAGCCTACAGTGGTGTGAAAAAAGTGTTTGCCCCCTTCCTCATTTCCTGTTCCTTTGCATGTTTGTCACACTTAAGTGTTTCGGAACATCAAACCAATTTAAACAATAGTCAAGGACAACACAAGTAAACACAAAATGCAATTTGTAAATGAAGGTGTTTATTATTAAAGGTGAAAAAAAATCCAAACCATCTTGGCCCTGTGTGAAAAAGTGATTGCCCCCCTTGTTAAAACATACTATAACTGTGGTTGTCCACACCTGGAGTTCAATTTCTCTAGCCACACCCAGGCCTGATTATTGCCACACCTGTTCACAATCAAGGCATCACTTAAATAGGAGCTGCTTGACACAGTAAGGTCCACCAGAAGATCCTTAAAAGCTACACATCATGCCGAGATCCAAAGAAATTCAGGAAAATTGAGAAAGAAAGAATTGAGATCTATCAGTCTGGAAAGGGTTATAAAGCCATTTCCAAAGCTTTGGGAATCCAGCGAACCACAGTGAGAGCCATTATCCACAAATGGCGAAGACATGGAACAGTGGTGAACCTTCCCAGGAGTGGCCGGCCGCCCAAAATTACCCAAGAGCGCAGCGACGACTCATCCAAGAAGTCACAAAAGACCCCACAACAACGTCCAAAGAACTGCAGCCTCACTTGCCTCAGTTAAGGTCAGCGTTCATGCCTCCACCATCAGGAAAGACTGGGGCAAAAATGGCCTGCATGGCAGAGTTCCAAGGAGAACCACTGGTGGCGGGGCGTGGGTGGCTCGCCGCGAGCGGAAAGGGGACTGGAGAAGGCGAGCAGGGGCCGCTGGAAGCGCGGTGGGCCGTGGGGCGTGGCTCACGATTCGGCGTCGGGTCCCGAGGAATACGAAGCGCATCGGTCGCGGATGAGTTGGCCCCGCCCAAGAGGCTTTGCGGGTGGGCGTAGACGAGCGGGCTGATCTGGGTACTACCGATCGTATATTTTAATCTCTCTCTCTCCTCAGATGAGACAAAATAAAGTAGTACTTTTCTCACACTGGTTGGAAACCCAAATATAGGGAAAATTATAAAGTCTAGGCCGTAGGCAAAGAACACTATGATTGTTTTTAACCTATTATATGAAGTCAAACATTAAACCTGGAGTAGCCTGAAAGATTCTGAATTTCCAAATTAAACGTTATACCAACAGTAAATGAATGGACAAGAAATATATGTGACATTAAATATAAGCCCAACAATTAGAAGGGAGGGAGGTATAATAAGGTAGCGTGGTGTGGTGTGTAGTAGCTCGTGGAATACAAGTATTGAAGTGTGGTAAACTGATGGGTCTCTCTGAAGGCCTCAGTGTCGTTCTAGCAAATCGCAAGAACTAGAGAATATAAGCATATATGTACACTTTTTATGAAAATAATAAAAAAAACCCAAACTTATGACCATTCACGTTAATGAACATACATTTAATGTAAAATATAACAAATATATATATTGCTGAAATAATTCCATTTAAAATTATGAATTTGATAGCTACTTCATACTAGCCATTGTTTACGTACCGGAAAAATCTAGTATCTAATCTCGTTGCAAATGAGGAAGAGTGTGGTGAGTGGAAAACTACTCTGGATTTATTCTGCAGATTGGAGGTTATGTGTACATGTACTTGTTATTTAGTAGCAGTATCTGGTCCGACCCTTTCCCGTACGCCGTTGCCAGGGAACACATCCTACGTTTCTTGTATTTTTTAAGTTGGTCTGCTATAGCTGAAACAACTTGAGCATTGCACAGCAAAGAAGATACAAAAATCTCAAAAGATAGTTTTTTAAAAACAAACCCTCCCTGCTTTCTGAAGCCACCACATACGTAGTAGTTACAGAATGGTACAATGGTGTCCCTGAACCCCCCTCAGGGTAGGTACAAAGGCGTCTCACAGGACAGAATGTAATGCTGAAGGTACACTGAGACCATCAAAATTCATTTTAAGAGCAGT